GGGATGGCCAGGTTTAAAACTCTTATGGCTCTTTTTAATAGTTACAATCGATTTGTGGAAGCAGTGATATAAATGGATGGTTTTGCTTAGTATTGTTGTTGATGTATTTGCATTTTCTGGTCCTTAGACTAACAATTATGTGGTTTAGGAGCGAGGTGCGTTGAGGTGTCATGAGCATACTTCAAAGTTGGGTGAGTGGAAGCTTAAACCAAAGCAGATAGAATTGGTGGAGAGAGCCGGTTTCGGGTTTTTGAGACGGATCCCTGCCATTAGTCTTGATAACCCTCTTATCTCTGCGTTGGTTGAGAGATGGAGGAGAGAAACCAACACTTTCCATTTCACTGTTGGGGAAATGACTGTGACTCTTGAGGACATTGCCTTGTTACTGGGATTGGGGATTGATGGTAAACCTGTCATTGGAGTTACGTATACAACTTGTTCTGCGATATGTGAGAGGTACTTAGGGGAGGCACCAGCATCTAATTACGCTAGTGGTGGGATGGTTAAGCTTAGCTGGTTGAAAGAGAAGTTCTCTGAATGTGAAGTTGATGCATCTTTTGAAAAAGTTGAGCGCTGTACACGGGCTTACCTCTTGTACTTAGTAGGGAGCACCATCTTCTCTACTACCACTGGAAACAAGGTGCCTGTTATGTATCTTCCGCTGTTTGAGGATTTTGATGATGCGGGAACATTTGCTTGGGGTGCAGCTGCTTTGGCTTTCTTGTATAGAGCACTTGGCAATGCTTCTGTTAAATCCCAAAGCACGATATGTGGTTGCTTGACGCTATTACAGGTACTTAATTTTTCATTTCTTGTTCTTAAACTGTTGATCCAAGAGGATATTATTACCGAGCCTATCCAGAATGTTTCTGCTAGTTTCAGCAGTTTGAATACTTATGAAATCGAAGACATTGATTTAATCTTCTTTCCTTATCTTTTGTTTTCTGTAGTGTTGGAGTTACTATCACTTAAACATTGGCCGGCCAAAGCTGAATCGCGAGCCCATCCATGATCATTTCCCATTTGTGCTTAGGTGGAAGGGGAAGCAAAATGGTCCAACAGCAAACCGTGATGTGGTCTTTTACCGGAAAGCGTTGGACGTCTTGAAGCCATGTGAGGTAAGCTTGTTTATCTTTCACATTCATCAGCTACTCTTCTTTGTGTAAAATTCTATTGATCTAATGTTGCTGATATACCTTGGGAATTAGGTGGAGTGGCTTCCGTATGAAAATATGAATGGTAGATTCATACCGGATCATATTAGAGACTCTCTGCAGTTGGGTAGATCGAAAACAATGCTGATATCTTTTGACAAGGCGGAGAGACATCTGCCTGATCGCTGTCTCAAACAATTTGGCTTGTTTCAAGGCATCCCAGAAGATGTGCAAAGGTGGGTAAGAAAGTCCCGGGGAGTTGATGGAGGGGTAGACCTGTCGGTTAAAATGGAATCAGAGTTGAGTGAATGGGAAATGCGGTGGGAAAACATTGTTCCTGATGATGTTCTAGGTGTTGATGAAGCAGACTACATGAGGTGGTATCTGGGAATTACCCGAAAAATTGTGGGAAGGCCCATCTCTCTCTCAAGCGAGTTTCAAAGAACGGTAATAGCTAAGCACAAGTTTCTTGACACTCAGTCGTATTGACATTAGGTTTCTATGTGTGACTTTAATACTTTATCCTCGTTATTTCAGATTTCAAATGTGAGGGATATATTGGAGTTGGCTGAGAATTTTCAAATACATGATTTGGACCTTGAAAGAGGCAACATGATTTCACGGATTATAGGCCTTGCGCAAGATTGCCTGAGAGATCAAGTTGGAGTAACGGCTACAACAGAAAGCCAGCAGCAGATCGAACTTGGGAAAAGAATGCGCGGTAAAGAGAGGGTGAGAAGGAAGGGGATGGGAAAGAGAAGAAAAGGTATCGATCCAATGGAAGACTATGGAGGTAGTGAAGATGAATCCCAGTTTGGACCTTTGGTTGAGGTTGGTCAGATGCATTTACCACTTAGTCATACAAATTCGGTTTACGATGGAACACATATGTACGATGCAGTCACCAAAGTTGATGACATGGAGCTTTGCGACACCATCCCTCAATTGCCCGAGACTCAAGACATCCACAAGATTGAAGGGTCATTGCTAGACGACACAGACAAGTCTATTGAGGACAGTAAGTTACAAGAAGAAATTGGAGTAACTAATGTTCTGAGTGGCGAGGAGCCAACTGAGAGCTATGATGTGAAGAAAGAAGATAAAGAATCAAAGGCTGAAGATGATGATGCAACAAAGGGCTTTAGTGATGTGAGCGGTGAAGAAAACGCGAACAGAGAGGAAGAAGATGGAACAGAGATGGGAGAAAGTGTTGCAGAGTCGTCTTCTCTTGAAAGAAGAGGAGAGAACACTGTGTTGGCTTGAAACCAGTTGGTTTCCTTCTCATCTGTTTAACCAATGTGAATTTCTGCCTCTTCTTTCTCTCGAGTTAATGGAACTGTAAGATTCCATGAGAGTTATACTATACATCAAGGCAAATCAAGATTGATGAAGAAAAGCTGGAGAAGAAGTTGAGTTTAGTTTTTATGTTGTGTTTTTTTTTCTTTTCTTAACTTGTAGTCTTAAGTACTGCCTTTTTCAAGATTGTGTTAAATTGTTTGTAGAAGAGGTAACAGAAGAAAGATAGTTCTTTTGCCATATATGAAGTTGTCGAATAGTTGTACATTACAGTCGAATTATATGACTCTCTCATTATACAAACTAGGAAGAAATTTAATAAGAGATGGAGACTATCTTCGGAAAGCCCCGGCCCAACTTAAATATTGACCCTTGTGCAAAAAAAAAATTGGACCTTTCATTATTAATTTTTTTTTTGAGTTTTTTTGAAGTTTTAGTTAAAATCTGAACCATTTAATAAATAACTGTTGAATGTTTTTAAAATATATTGAATAAAGCTTTAGAGTGATTTATATTAAAATGACAAATCCTATGTTAGTCAAAAATGAATTTAAAAAGGTTTTAAAAATCAAGTGTTATTGGATTAATAATTTTTAAATGGACAATCAAATCGAATGTTATTGGAAACATTTTAAGTAATAGATTTGAAGTGATTTGAGTGACTTAGGTGAAATTTCTGGGAATTTCTTAGTTAGAAATATAATGAATCCAAATTCCATGGTTTTAGCCTTTTAGGTAATATTTGAAAGAATTTTAATAACAGATTTTCTAATTCACCAAAATTCAGTAAAATCATCTCGAAACTCATTAAAACTCAAATCACTCCAAATACATTATCCAATATACCCTGAGCCTTTTTTATTAATTTTCAGTTCACTTTAATTTTTTTTTTTAAATATGAGCTATTTTTAAAAACAAATTTCACAAAAAACATAGACCCATGGACCTATGGGCCAATGCTTCTCTACCCACCCTATTTGGATAGTACCTATTTTTAGACCAGTGAAGTAATTCGCATATGTCTGAATGGTAAAGGAAAACAGTAAAGACAGACTTGTCACATATGAAATAGCGAAAAGCTTCTCTGGAAGTTTTTTTTTCCAGAATTACGCACACCCTACCGCAAGATGCTCCTGTTTATAGGAGACCGCCAGATCCTAACTACAACCGGACCGGTTGGACCGCGGAAGAAGACAACATAATCTTCCTCTTTAATGTTTTTAGAAGAAATTAATTCCTTCTATCTGGTATTTTTCTTGCTTTATACGGTGGTGAGTTCTTGAACGATATTGAAATCACACATCGTGTCGCTGACATGGTCAAAAAGAAATGTTGTTTTACAGATGATTTTTAGGTATGTTTTATAGTAAGAGAAAAAAATGTGGTGTTTGGTGAGCAATGTTCAATGTGACTTTGAATGATAAAGTCCACCTCTTCTCTACTCACCGGACCAATCGATCTGTCCGCCGGTGTAAATCCTACTAACCTCTAAGTCGAAGATAGCTGCCTTTTTTGAATTGTTTTGTAAAAATAGAATCTAAGACATTAATGCACTTTTGCAATAAAAACAAATTCTCACTTAAACATATAAGGTTGTTTTAAAGTTTTATTTTATTTTTTGAATAATGAATTTAAAAAAAAAAAACTTATTGTGGTTATTAATACTCTTATGAAAAAAATTATAAATATGTTTGGTGGGTTAAATTCATGAAAATTATCCCTAATTTTTACTTTTTTTTATAAAAACTACAAACTTTTGTATTATATGAAAAATATATCCGTTAATAAAAAATGTCTTTTAATGCTTAAAGTTTCAAATATTGTTCTTTTAAACCTACAATTTTACAAACAAATCTATTTTTTAGAAAATTCAGGAATACCCCTAGTTATCTCTAATATTTTTTTTTTTTAAAAACATAAAAAATCTGTGCAGTTTGATCCTAAATAAAAAATATTTGGAGTTATTTTTCGAAATTGTTTCTGTAATTTACCTTAAAAGATGCTTCTTTTTTTTTTTTTTTTTTTTTTTTTTTTTTTTTTCAATTTCTCTCTTTTTCTACTCATCTAATTTGGTATAGAATGTAGTATTAATCTTTACCATTTCACATTTGTTCTTTTGTAAATTTTGGAATTTAAAAAAATTATCACCAAAATTCATTAGTGTTTAGAGATAGATCAGCGGTGGTTCAACAAATTGACATTGAAAATTCTCCTTTTTATTAAACATTTTCTTACAAAAGTATTCTAAGTTCTTAAACAAAAGTAGTCCTAAAAAAGATATACATCCACTTGTGTAAGAATCAATACTTTGTTTTGTTCCTCGTAGTAACTAATTTATATATATTTGCAAAACCGATCCCTAAACTTTAACATTACTCTTACTTTGTAACCAAGAAACAACAATACTAATGAGAGACACATCTAACCGTTAGATCAACGACGTCCACATATATTATTGTACACCGCATCACACCCAATTACAACCTCTCCTTCCCACTTTCTTCTTCTCTCGAAGCTTTTTTTCTTCTTTCTTCATTAGTCATTTCTAAGTCCAACCATCTGATTTTTGGACAAGAGTCTTGTCACAAGACCTTTTGTTCTTCTCTCTCTGAAACCCAATTTGAGGTTGTTCGATTCGATCTACGAGATTCTTGATCTTATTACAAGAACTTAAGCGGCTTCAGTTTTTATTTGGTCGGGTGATGATCTTCTCGATGTCTGTGCTAGGTAAATTCTTTTTTATTTTTGAAGTTGTATTAAATTCTTTAATTTAGTTTAGTAATTAGTATTAAATGCTTAATCTTTATGCGAATCTTGATACTGGGTCGTCTCTAACTCCGTAGAATATGGAACCAATTTGCCGACTTTTTATGATTTGGTTAAAAGATTTTAGCAAATGCTTTAATTTTGGGGTTTAAATCCCTACAAAAATGGGTATTTTGTTTGTTTCAAAGATGTCTATTGGTAATACTTGAGTCTGAAGATCTTTAGATCTTTATGAAGATTGTAATTGACATAGAAATTTCCAAAAGTGGAGACTTTTAGTGGTTATTCTGCAAAATTATGTTCCTAATTGTTGTTTCTGTGGAGTTTAATGTCAATTCACTGAAATAATTTGGTTATTGTTTGTTTGATTTCTCCTTCAGGCTTTGGGAAGTAAATATATTTGGTGTTAAGCTTGAGTCTCTCCGGTTTTGAGCTGACTTGAGTTTGTTAGTATTTATGGCTGAGGTGGGAAAAGTTCCGGCTAGTGACATGGAACTAGCCGATTCAAGCGAGACTAAAGCAGCTGATGATGTTGCCGCCACGGATAAAGTGGAGGTCACACCAGTGACTGTAACTATAACTGACACTGTTGTTGAAAGTTCGAAATCTACAGACTGCAAAGAGCTACAACAACTTGTTCCCCATACCGTAGCTTCACTGTCAGAAGTAGATGTGGCTTCCCCGACATCCGAGAAAGCACCGAAGATTTCTGAAAGTAGCACTCCTATCAAATCGCTTAAAAACGCCGATTTTCGCGTTACAGTAACAACTCGAAAAATGGTGACACTGATCGTAGCCACCACCTCCGATCCAGCGTCGATCAATCCTGCAGCGGCGCTTCTCGCCATGCCCGGTTGGATCGCCGGACCTATCTTACCGCCGGTAAAGTTTCTCAATCTTTCTCCGCATGTAAAGTTTCAATCTTTGACTAACACTTTCCGGCTACGATTCTTTTCAAGACATAAAGAGTTTCAGTAACAAGCAAACGAGAGTGATTCAACACGATAGATCTATAGTTAAAGAAGACGATCTTGATTTACGTTGGGAAGAAGCTACCGGTGAAGTTATTGATGAAGTCATCTTCCTCAGCCGTCACACCGCCGTCTCAAATCGTCCTGCTTTAACTGTTCATCCGATTGGTAATGCATAAAAATCCAAACTTTTGATTTGGGTTTTGTTTGTTTTATGAGTTTCTGAAGGATGATGTTTTGGTTGATAAGTGTAGGAGTGCTTCATCTAAAGGATGGAGAATCACCGCCGCAAGGAGGAAAGCCAGGATGGGCGGCGTTGCCAAACCCTAGAATTGGTCCATGGTTTCGTCTTTTGAAGAAAATGGCTGAAGCTCATGGTTTAGTTCCTGAGTTTGAGGTATTTGTTGTTTAGTCTCTCTCTCATGAGTTTTGGTTTTCGTTGGAATTGAAATTTGGTTTTAAGTAAGGTGAGAATGTAAATTGCTTTGTGTGGATGTAGATAACATTGGAAGCTACTCATCATGGACCAATAACTAACAAGCCAACGATGTTTTTGGAGATTGGTGAGTTTCTTTCTTTGTTCCTTTTATCTGAATTGATTAGCTCTCTGCGTTCTCGAAATTGCCATTTTGTTGGTATTAAATTTTGATGGTTATATGAATTTATAGTCATCATTGATCTCTAAGAATGTTTATCGTGTGTGTGTCGACAATTCTGAGCTCTAGTTAACCGTTGCTTATTGTGTATATGTAGGTAGTACAGAGGAATACTGGAAGAGAGATGATGCGGCTCAAGTCATGGCTCTTGTAAGTAAAAAAAGTTTGTTACTTTCATTGGTTTCTTTCAGGAGGTAGAAGAAGGTCGTTGTTCTTGTTTCTTGTTGCTTCCTGTGGGTTTAAAGACTGATTAACAACAATTTTGCGGCTCATGACTGGCCAGTAGCGTTTAGTCTATATCAATGCTTCATGAATTAACGTAAAATTGCTTGACAATATCTATAATTTTGCTTCCATTTAGCAAAATGCATTTGTGTTTTATGATTTCAGTTAATGTGGGAAGGACTTGGGCTAGGAGGCGGTGAAGCCGTGGGGAACTGGAACAGGTATATTTATGGTAGCTTGACCATTACCACGACATAAAGAAGAAAAGTAGTATCGATCTAAATTAATGTGGATCGTTTTTGGTAGACAGTGAAACCGGAAAGAGGAAAGTTCTCTTAGGGATTGGAGGTGGACACTATGCTCCTCGTCACATGGATATAGTTTTGTAAGTTGTCAAGAACTCTGCTTTGTGCGAGCACAACATTGAATCTGTTATTTTGCTCATTGTTTTGATTCTGCAATCATCAGGAAAGACGATATTTGGGTAGGCCATTTACTTTCTGGATACTCATTACCGATGGAAGATCCAACTCAAACCAAAACAACGCCTGTAGAGAATTACATTGGTGGAAATTGGAGACAGTCTATTAAGGCAGCATTTGAAGCTACTAAAGCAGCATTCCCAGGAGGCGAAATATTGGCTCATCTTGACCACAAGTAAACTCTATAACTTCCTTCCTCCTCTTGATATTGTTTGCTTTCTTGATCCTCGCATTGGATAACGAGTAACGGGGTTTGTTTTTCTTTATTGCAGGAGCTTCAAAGGATGGCAAAAGAAGGCCATTACAGAGTTTTTGGCTGAAGAGAGTATCAATGTTGGGAAGCCAAACGATTTCACATAAACTGTGAGACCCTAAAACATGTTTATGGATTCAGAATCTATCATTTGATGATGGGTTTAGATTATTTTCAACTATTACAACTAAGTTGAGATTGGAATTCATCTGTAAAAGTTTCACTTTCAGATTTAGATAGACGAAGAATAAAACATGAAAAGACAAAACAGGAGAAATATAGAATAAAACACAAGTTGAGTTTTTGTTTTTGTTTGTCTCTTTTCAATTGTTGAGAGACTTTTGAGAATTTCAAATTTGTCACTTTTATCTCTCTATTAGTCAGTGGCATGGCATAGTTGACTTTACTGAAGTTTTGGATAGGAAATTCCTTTTGAGTTTGATGGTTTCTAACTTTGTCTGAAGCTTCACAAATTACAATTTCAAAATTAGTTTATTTAGCTAAATTATTGAAAATTTAGACCAAGGAGATACAGTAACATTTTATTCAAGTAAGTCAACTGATCACTATATCAATTATGAATTGGTCATTTTCGCACTTTTGTTAGTGCTTTTTCTTTTGCTTCGTTTTCCTCGAAGAGGGGGAGAAATTATGATGTGGGGATGTGAAAATCAGATAAAGAACCACTTTGGTACTTTGTTTGTGGTTCAATAGTATCATCATATTTCATATAGTTTTCTTATAATTTATATTTTGAACTATGTGTTTGAAATAAGAACTTATAAATTATCCATTCCAAAGAACTTATATTGCATTCCGGTTAGTTAGAAAACTAAATCACGTCTAATATGGGGAATTGAAAATAACGTGACTACTGCCCATTTTATAGGGGAAAAAAAAATACAGTACATGACATTATCTAATGCATGCACCTATGTATTAATTAGGGACATTTTTTTTTTTTTGGTTAATATTAATTAGGGACATTGCCATGTTTATTTTCTTGGTATTCAAAACCTTCCCGATTGAAATTTGAGATAATATATTTTTGAACGAAAATGATTCATATTTCATATTGTAACCCTAACAAATAGTATTTTATTTATTTACATCTTCATCTAATATATTTTAAAACATTATATCGGAGATAACTTGGTAAGCGAAATGCATATTTTACGAACCAAAGACCTAAATATTTTGGACTATATTAAAAACCCATCTATAAAATGAATCCCATGAATCTGAAAGAAAAATTGTCTAGTTCTTGGTATATATTGTCTTAGCATATTTACTTTATGTGTTTAGAAAAATTTAAATTATGTTAGTGTTATCATTATGTTAATGTTGTCGGTATATATATCTTGTTTTTAGTATTAAACACAACTTACTAAACTATTATATTCTATATTATTTGTCAGATTTCATAAAATAACATTAGTTGCTCAAACTATTCACATCTTCGTCAAATAATACTCTCTCTATTTCATAATATAAGTCGATTTTTGAATGACAAAAATTTATATGTGTGAATTTTTGAATGACAAACTATTCACACATTTACTTAAGTGTGAAATACTGTATTTTTGAATGACAAAAATTCATATTTCGAATTTCTATGAAAGTATTGGATATCAAAAAGAAAAAAATATATATATACAAAGTATATATTACATAGATAATATCACACAAAAGAAATGGAACCATAAGAAATCAACTTGTATTAAACTAAGAAAATGTTGGCAATGTAGATAGTAGATACATCAAAAATATAATTATAGGTATACTAAGATTGAAACGTAGGGCCAACATAGCCAACGAAACATAGCCGTCGATTAGTAGGAAACAGTTAATAAACTCGCTGGCACACGCAGAGATCCTACGGTACTCATTACCTTCGGACTATATTAATACTATACACCTCCACGTACCCAACTAATTTTTTTTTTTTATATTTTCGATATTTATAATTTTATTATTTTAATATCTTAGGTTTAAACATTCAAAATTAAATCAAAAATGATTAAAATGCTAAGAAGTGAATCTTAGCTTAGATGTTTTATGTGTGTTAAGAAACGTCGACGTGTAGCAAGATTGGTCGATAGTAAAGACAAAACCAAAAAGAAAAAAATTCACGCGTGTTTTCTTTTTTTCTTCCCAGTTCATCGTTTCTCTCTCTCTCGCTCTCGCTCTCTCTCGACATGCAACAAAGAACTGCGAAATCTCTTCGCTCACAATCCTGAATCTGCTCCTGCTATTGCTCTTAATGCTCAGATCGAGAAAACCAAACGCAGGTTCGTCTTCGATTTTGATTTTTTCGTTAAAACAGAGCTTTCCTCTAAATCGAAATTAGGGTTTTCTGAAATTGGGGATTCGGTGTTATCAATTTTTTTCTTATCCTTCCCTTCCTCCGCCAGATTCCTTTCATGCGAAGATGAGCATAAAACATCTGTTTTTGGTTTTGACGATTGTCTCTGCATATTAATTTGATTGTTTGAAAGTTTGTGACTTTTAATAGCTATTGTATTTATCATGATTTGATTTGTGTGTTTGCTGCAGAACAAGTTGCAGAATTTGGCTGCTACTTAGGTGAATGATTAATTTGCATCAAATATGAGTCTACGTAGAATTCGTGGCTTCTGACTGTGCTTGGAGCATCTCTGCTTTGAGAGTTTTATTGAAGTGGTCAAATATCTGTTGACATTATGCTTTTGGTTTTGAGTATGTATATTTAGGTGATGTTTATTCAAAGTTCTCTCTTTTTAATTTAGTTCAAGAGATAATGTTTGTTAGTCTTAACTTATTCTTTGGATTCTTGTGGTTGAAGGTTATATACACTAGGGAAACTGACCAGAGTCGTGGGTTTGGATTCTTGGTAACTTTGTGTTTTTCCAAGTGTCTATTTGGTGTTCTCTGCTCAAGTAGCTTACCAAATCTATGATTCTCTTCACTACCATGCTTTTGAACAGCACTAGAAACTGGAGTTTGTGTATAACGATTCACTCGTTTGTTGTGTAAACTCTTTTTCGGTGTTGGTGTTAGGTTCTCTGGTTATATAGTAACATTTCAAAGTCAGTCACGTTATTGGAGATTAAGGTGATCAGCAATTGCTCAAGCTCATGACTCTTTGTTGAGAAATGCATTGAAGGGAGAGGTATATAAAGCTTTATAGCTTCCATTATCTCATCAATGGTTTTGTTGTGTTTGTTAGCTCACAACAGGTAGTCTTGATCCTACCATATCTTTGTGAGCTTATACTATGTTATGTTATCTTTTATGTAAAAGCTCCTTTATTTTCTCTTAGGCTGAGAAGCTTGGAAGGAGAAGAGAAGTAGCAAACATAGTGTTCGATTTTTCTGTTAGGACAGCAACAATTTATACACCTCAACAACAGTTTTGGGATATGGATAGTGTTGACCTCTTAAGTTCAAATGCAAATGTTGTAATGTGTTTTATTGATGGTTTGCTTGTACTATAAGATATTGTTTTGCAACAATTTGAATTTTTTTTTCTTAAGAACCCATTGCTTCTTAACCATTGGAGTAGAAAATAACTAAGATACTATCTAACTTTTCTTAACTAACAAAATTCAAAATTTTAATTTAAAATAATGTTAGGATCCAAGGTTAAGCATTGGAGATGCTCTAAACAAAAGTAGTCCTAAAGAAGATATCCATCCACTTGTGTAAGAATCAATTCTTTGTTTTGTTCCTCGTAGTAACTAATTTATATATATTTGCAAAACCGATCCCTAAACTTTAACATTACTCTTACTTTGTAACCAAGAAACAACAATACTAATGAGACACGAGATTATTATGCACTGGGTTCTCTGGGTCCCACAGCTTCTGCTTTTGTCGGCTTGCGTTTTGTGGGTGGAGAATATATGTCATGAGAAACGTATCATCTAACCGTTAGATCAACGACGTCCACATATATTATTGTACACCGCATCACATCCAATTATAACCTCTCCTTCCCACTTTCTTCTTCTCTCGAAGCTTTCTTTCTTCATTAGTCATTTCTAAGTCCAACCATCTGATTTTTGGACAAGACCTTTTGTTCTTCTCTCTCTGAAACCCAATTTGAGGTTGTTCGATTCGATCTACGAGATTCTTGATCTTATTACAAGAACTTAAGCGGCTTCAGTTTTTATTTGGTCGGGTGATGATCTTCTCGATGTCTGTGCTAGGTAAATTCTTTTTTATTTTTGAAGTTGTATTAAATTCTTTAATTTAGTTTAGTAATTAGTATTAAATGCTTAATCTTTATGCGAATCTTGATACTGGGTCGTCTCTAACTCCGTAGAATATGGAACCAATTTGCCGACTTTTTATAATTTGGTTAAAAGATTTTAGCAAATGCTTTAATTTTGGGGTTTAAATCTCTACAAAAATGGGTATTTTGTTTGTTTCAAAGATGTCTATTGGTAATACTTGAGTCTAAAGATCTTTAGATCTTTATGAAGATTGTAATTGACATAGAAATTTCCAAAAGTGGAGACTTTTAGTGGTTATTCTGCAAAATTATGTTCCTAATTGTTGTTTCTGTGGAGTTTAATGTCAATTCACTGAAAGAATTTGGTTATTGTTTGTTTGATTTCTCCTTCAGGCTTTGGGAAGTAAATATATTTGGTGTTAAGCTTGAGTCTCTCCGGTTTTGAGCTGACTTGAGTTTGTTAGTATTTATGGCTGAGGTGGGAAAAGTTCCGGCTAGTGACATGGAACTAGCCTATTCAAGCGAGACTAAAGCAGCTGATGATGTTGCCGCCACGGATAAAGTGGAGGTCACACCAGTGACTGTAACTATAACTGACACTGTTGTTGAAAGTTCGAAATCTACAGACTGCAAGGAGCTACAACAACTTGTTCCCCATACCGTAGCTTCACTGTCAGAAGTAGATGTGGCTTCCCCGACATCCGAGAAAGCACCGAAGATTTCTGAAAGTAGCACTGCATTATCTTTGCAATCTGGTTCGGAAGGGAATAGCCCGTTTATTCGCGAGAAAGTTATGGAAGACGGATACAACTGGCGGAAATATGGGCAGAAACTTGTTAAAGGAAATGAGTTTGTAAGGAGCTATTACAGGTGCACACACCCAAACTGCAAAGCGAAAAAGCAGTTGGAACGGTCGTCTGGTGGACAAGTCGTGGACACCGTTTACTTTGGTGAACATGATCATCCAAAGCCTCTTACTGGTGCTGTTTTTATCAATCAGGATAAACGAAGTGATGTCTTCATGGCTGTGAGTAAAGGTGAATAAAGAACAGATAAAATTTTCTATTTATAAGAAAGTTTTCGTTGGGGCTTATGATGATGTAGTGTAACATATCAGCTGTTCACTGTTTCTTATGGTATTATGTTTGTAGAGAAATCATCTGGATCCAGTGTTCAGGCACATCGTCAAACCGAACCACCGAAGATCCATGGAGGATTACATGTTACAGTTATTCCACCAGCTGAAGACGCGAAAACTGATATTTCACAATCAAGTAGGATAAAAGGCGACAACACTCACAAAGATTATAATAGTCCTACCTCAAAGCGAAGGTATTGATGATCGATATTTCAGTGTTTTTTTTCATTGTTCTGGAGGAAGACTTCACCATTGGTGTTCTTTGTTTTTCTTCTTATGTCGATGTCACTAAATTAGGAAGAAAGGAGGGAACATCGAGCTGAGTCCAGTGGAGAGGTCAACCAATGATTCACGCATTGTTGTTCACACTCAGACTCTGTTTGATATTGTGAATGATGGGTACCGATGGCGTAAATATGGTCAGAAATCAGTGAAAGGCAGCCCATATCCAAGGTAGTGATTGTTTACATGTTAAAATGTGATGTCAAACATTCAGTTTCATTCTTCTCTGCTTACGTTCTTTCTTCATTTGATGTTTTATGTATTAGGAGCTACTATAGATGCTCAAGCTCTGGATGCCCCGTGAAGAAACACGTAGAAAGGTCATCTCATGACACAAAGTTGCTTATAACGACTTACGAGGGAAAACATGATCATGATATGCCTCCAGGAAGAGTTGTTACTCATAATAACATGCTGGACTCCGAAGTTGATGATAAAGAAGGAGATGCCAACAAGACTCCACAGAGCTCAGCTCTTCAATCTATTACAAAAGACCAGCATGTCGAAGATCACCCAAGAAAGAAAACGAAGACTAATGGCTTTGAGAAAAGTCTTGATCAAGGTCCAGTTTTGGATGAGAAGCTGAAGGAGAAAATAAAAGAGAGATCAGATGTGAACAAAGATCAAGCAGCCAATCACGCCAAGTCGGAGACAAAGTCAGATGATAAAACCACTGCTTGTCATGAGAAGGCAGTGGTAACCCTGGAGAATGAGGAACAGAAACCCAAGACAGAGCCTGCCCGAAGCTAAGCATTCGGTGTTGTATCGAGTGGTAATTTATATGGCTGTTTAACATAGATTAGTACAGGCGATATGATTATAGACTGTACAGTTGTTGTTCAGGCGGGACCAAACTTAGATTAGTGTTTAATGGAATAGTATGCTTTAATACCTTTATGTAACCACTTCCATTTGGTTTAAATAAGAGTAACACAACAAGAGCCTTTCTTTGTTGATGGAGCCTGGTGTAATAGTTGTAGCATGGGGATGTATATGATTTGATTCAACCTTATTAATGGTATTAAGACAAAACCATCTATTACTTCCAGTTCTGTCTTTTGCATTACATTCTCTGAGACATTTATTCTTTCACTTCCATGCACAAGATGAGACCAAGATTCTGTCCATCCAACCAAGGTACAGAGCACCATCTCTTTCTTCAATCGCATACCCGTTGCTGTAATCTCTCAAGAGGGCTCTAATGGTGGCTGAAATGATTGAGCTCAAGGGGTATGGCTCAAAACCCGCCATGGAAAACCTTGACTTCCATTTCCCGAGGAGCTCATGTCTTTCGATCCTCTCAGCTCCTTCACAAGCTATGATGTTGACGACATCCCTTGCCAAGCAGTGCTGCTCGATATTGATCCTTTCCTTGTGATTTCTCGGAAGCATCACATCGATAGATTCAAACATTGCTGTGTAATAACTTAATGTCTCAAGGAACCTAGGAAGGAAAGGGGAAGTGTTTGTGTTGCATTCTTGTTCCACAAGAGTGACTACTTTAGGTGATAGACTCTTCACCATCCTCAACAACCGGTCCCTGTGGTTTTCCATGCTTACACTCTCATCTGGCAAATGGTGCAGCATGTAAGCAAAGTTCACTCCAAGGGCTTCGCCTTCTAGGACATCAAGATTTTCCATTTCAACTTCACAACTTGGCCGTGAAACCGCATTGAACCTGAATGGGACATCAAACTTCTTTGCAAGTTTCTCTAGTCTTTTCTTGACTGTAACCAATACAGATACATCACCAACTCCGGTAATTCGAATATTTGGAGCCCCACCAGGCCTAGCTGCAAAAGCCTGAATCAGTGAAATCCACTGGCTCCCTTGCCCAATTTGGAAGTCAATAATGTGGATCCTCTCTTCATCCTTCATTGCTTCTGCGATCGCACCATTCGCTGACATGTACCCAAACTTGAAATATGGGCAAACCTCATGCAGAACATACACATAAGATAAAAATTCATAACTCTCCGGTTCTCTGGATTGAAGAGACTTGTATATCGAACTACCAGAGGCAGCAAGCCTTGCCACAAGCCCTTCTAACATGTAAGCTCCCAACCTCTGGATTGGCTCACCAGAAATCGAAACCATACCGCGTAACTCGCCCATACACCATCGTGCCATCAGAAGATTATTCTCAGAAACAGCTTTTGCACAAGCAACCAGTACCAATTTCAAGTCTCCCCTTGATATTGCCTCCACTATCAACAACAAATCATTAGCCTCTTCAGGCCACATGGAGAGTTTATGACAGATAGCATCATCGATACTCTCAGCTATATCTGGCAATGGCTTCAACATTATTGTTTCCACTTCTCTCAGATTGTGTCTCGAACCTCTTACATTTTCCATCACAAATAAGCAAGTAAGAAACTTAGAGCATCAACCATTATCCTCAGAAAATGACCTTTATTTATCTGATCTATATAGAAGGCTACACACCTGTAGAATTCATAGACAAAGTCTTTAATCAGATTGAATTAGATATCAAATTGAACAATCATATCCATGGAGATCAAGGACTCTAGTATCATTAAAATCAACTCATGAGGCTATGAATCTACATCAACTATGAACTACTACATCAATAAACAAGACATAAAGAGTTCCAATCATAAACCAACACACTTCCATTATCACAATTTGACCATTTCTCTTCAGAGTTTAGTATAAACTTGAGAGTAAGAGCAATCATTCACAACAAACCAACATCAAACTTAACAATAACTTCGTTTTAAATGCAAAATTGTAAACAAAGAAGAGAAATTTCAAGTTTTGTGGATAAGAAGAAGCAGATCATCAAAATCATCTAGAAAAGAGAACAAAGGTTAGATTTTTATTGGAAAAAAACCAACCTTGTGTAGATTAAGAAGTGATCTTTCGGTGGAAATAGACAAGAGATTTGGTTTTGCAAGTGAGAGATCCACCCAAAGCTCGAAGTTGAAGCAAAAGGAAGAATCTTTTAGTTGCTGTGGTAAAGAAAATAACCCCTGTTCTAAAAATCCCCGCCTAGCCCCGATTACTCCCCGCTTAATCGCTAGGCCCACCCTATCCGCCTCGATTAATGACTAATCCCCTAAAAAATCAGTAACCCGATTATTCTCCGTCTAATCCGATTATTTCCCGCCTAATCCGATTATTTCCCGCCTAATCTTACATACCCCGATTATTTTTTATATTACAAATATAAAAAAAACATTTTATTTTTGTTATTCAATCATTTGAATTGGGAGTTTGTGATGTTTTATATAACTTGTGTTCAAATTTTAATAAAAATCATAAAAATTTGTTTTTACTGTAATTTTGAAAACAATATTGAATTAATATATTTTAAAAATATTAAAATAACCCTAAAACTAATCCCCGATTAATCCCCGATTTTAATCCGATTTTCCGATTAATCGCTAGACCCATGCCGAACGCCCGACTAGCGCCTAGCGATTTTTCAAACAAGGAAAATAACACACCACATACGACGCCGTTTTAAGCTTAAACCACCCACTGTCCACTTGACACATCTCTCTTAAAGTCTCTGGTCAAATGGGAAATTGTGTAAGAAGCAATCTTAGAGACATCAGAGGAAGACGATCGATGGATCCTCGGATATGGCACAAAGTCGCAGCTATTTCCGGTGAGATTTAAGATAAAGTAATGATCTTTGATTTGATCTTGTAAAGGCAAGGTACTGATTCGTTAAGAATTCGTTTAGGTATGGCTGCTCTTGGTTTGGGAACTTATGGCGCTCATGTCTTTAAACCAGAAAACCCTTCTTACAAACAGGTTTAGATTCTTGAAATTGTTAGAAAATTCGATTGCTTTTGCATTTGTTGTTTGATTTGTCTGAGAAAGTTTAGGTTTTTGTTTGTTCAGGTGTGGCAAACGGCTTCTCTTTACCATTTGGTTCACACTGCTGCTCTTGTTTCTGCTCCTAGTACCAAATATCCCAACATTGTAAGCTTTCTCTTCTTTCTCTGTTTCTCTAGTTTGTGTTCTTTGATAGTTGATGGAGCTGAAATATCATTTTATTGCTCAGTTTGGTGGCTTGTTGACTGCTGGGATTGTAGCCTTTTCCGGCACGTAAGTTGTTATCTTTTTGTTTCTCAGATTCCTCAGTTTAAGCTCTTGAATGGATGTGTTGGTAGAGTTTTTGTGCTTCATGTTTGTTTGGATGTATTGTAATTGAGATTATAGTAGTGCATCATGGTTATTTGAGCGATTTCGATATGATTTGGAGTTTCCAGTATAGACTCTAAGCTCTGGCACTAGCAATACTTGCCACAATTCTCAGTTGCTAGGGAGATTTTATCGATTTCGACATGTGTCTAACTCTGAATCATTTGAAAAGCATTGCATCACTTATTAATAGCATAGGTGTTGGTATTTGAGTTAATGATGCTTTTTTACGAAATAGTAGTTGTCCCCTTGTATTTCCTTCGAATTCGATATTTGAAATTATGGTCTTTTGCGAAAGAACTAAATTTCAGATGCTTACTAGGTAACTCTAATGTTTTGGATCAGTCTGGGTATGAATATGTGAGAAGTTTCATGTTTGTCAAAATGCTGCAGGTGTTATATGGTAGCGCTGCGTGAGGACAGAAAGTTTTCTACCTTGGCACCATTCGGAGGCTTTGCGTTCATTGCTGCATGGGCAACTTTACTTTTCTAAACAATCTCAAAACCATCTATAAGGTCAAGTTGTGGTCAAGCTTATCCTACATATGAACTCACTGTTTTTTCCCTAAGAGATTGCTTAATACAATACCGTGTCGACAAACATAAATCATCTTCCTTTACTTATTCACTTTGTTGCTAAAGGGATTATGTAAATGACCAGAATAATGTAATCTTATTACCATACAAATTATCAAAATTCTACATTAGAGAAACTTCCAAGTTGCAACAAAGATTGGATTTAGTTTATATTGTTCAACAGTAGTAACTATGAAAAACATTCACTCTATTCATCATCCTTTCATGTCATCTTGGCCCTTTCCTTTGAATCACTGGATATATTCAAAATGGCACGAACCGTTACCTATCAAATCATGAGATAATCAGTCACAAATGGTTCAAGATCTTGATTGATCAAAGAGCTTAAATAGCTGTTAACAAAAGGGTTGATATAAATTTGCTTACTAGGGTCGCGCTGCGTGATTACTGCAGCGCTGTGGAAGTCACAGGTACCGCCCTTGTGCTTATAACGCTGATAATAATCATTGAAGACAACAGAGGCATGGTCCTTAACAGTGTTGGGCAAGAAGCAAGGCTGGTCAGGCTGAATCTTACTGCAATCTGCTCCGCCTATTTGACAGGCCCAGTCTAAGGCTGCTTGTATCACATTATCTGGTATTTGTGGATCAGCTACACACCATTGTCCGAATTCCGCTTTCGCTATAAAAATAAGATACACAAATTATATCTTTGAGATTATGTGTATCAGTGTATGCGAGTAGATGTTACAATAATGTTGTACCTGTAAACGTTACTGTTATGAAAAGTAGCGCAATTTGCTATCCTTAACCAAAGAGTTTTCATCTTCACAAGAGGCAAGTTGAAAGGTTTGAGAGCTTAAAAATGGTCATAACTCGAGTATTTATAATGCTAGTATTCTGTGTTTAGAATGAATTATACTTTGACCAACAAAATAAAAGAATAATGAATTATACAAGATCTTAAACTTATGTGTAATTCTTATCAACTGCCAAATTGTTGACTATGAATTTGATACAAATATATATGGTCAAATTATCTTATATGGAATGTGGTCAAGCTTATCCTACATATGAACTCACTGTTTTTCCCTATGAGATTTGCTTAAGATAATCAATCATAAAGCTTCTTTCTTTACTTGTGCACTTTGTTGCTGAAGGGATAATGTCAATTACCAAATTGATGTAATTTGAATTCCATATATCTTATTAAAATTCTACATTAGAACATAATATCTGTTTCCTTAGCTGGAGAAGAAGAGAAAAGTGAAACATCTCATCTTTACAATATTTACCACTTTTCTTAAATACTGTAAACTTAAGTACTCATTATACATTTTACATTTGTCATCCTTGATATAAAAGTTTGGCAATAAATTTCTAAGGTTTCTTATAATTTTTTTTTAATAAAAAATAATAATTATGTTATCTATCTAACAATTTTAGAACATTTATGGTGATGAAAATTTTTTATGGTAACATATATAATTTTTATACAAGTCTAATTTATCATTAATTAATAAATAAATTTACACCCTAATTTCTTGTTTGTATATAAGACAAAGAAAGGGGCAAAGTGAAAAAACTCAAACCCCTAATTTCTACTACAAAGCTTTTGAGTCGCTTTCTTCTTTCACAAGAGAAACGATGTCCGATCTTCCACCGGATTTGGTAGAAGAAATACTCTCAAGGATCCCAGCCACATCTCTGAAACGATTACGATCCACTTGCAAACAATGGAACTCTTTATTCAAGAACCGAAGATTCACCGAGAAGCACTTTCGTGAAGCTCCAAAGCAGTCTCATGCTCTGTTATGGAACGATCGTAGGGTTTGTCCAATGAGCATCAATCTCAACGTTGCTCCTCCATCTATAGAGTTTAAGAGTGTACTTAGTATTAAGGACCCAGAACCCGTCTATATATCCAATGTTTCTCACTGCGACGGTTTATTGTTATGCACCACCGATGATGGTAGACTCGTAGTTTGGAATCCGTGTTTGGGGCAAACCAGGTGGATCAACTTTGAAAATGATTACAAGACATACTATAGGTTTGCTCTAGGATACAAAAATAACAAATCTTGCCGTAGCTACAAACTCTTGAGGTTTTGGACATCTTATTTTACACCAAACCATATTGGTCTCGTGTATAATATCTATGAGTTTACCTCTGATTCGTGGAGGGTTCTTCTTGATAAAGTCTCTCTCAACTACTTTCTAATAGAATCAGAGAATGGTGTGTCTATCAAGGGAAATACTTATTGGCTTGCTTTAGATGTCGAAACAAATTTGTTACTCGGTTTTGATTTTACAATGGAGAGATTTAAACGTTTGTGTCTTCCCTCAAATAAGTATGGTGATACGATGGTTCTATCTGTTGTTAGAGAAGAAAAACTCTTAGTGTCACATCAGAACTTTCGTTCATCAAAGATGGATATTTGGATGACCAATATAATTGATAGTGAAACCGCCTTGTCCTGGAAGAAGTACTTTTCTGTGGAGTTTATAATCCTTAGTACTTGTCATTCTTGTCCGTTTAGCATTACTTTTCTGATCGATGAGGAGAAGAAAGTTGTCGTATCGATTGTAATGGATAATGAGAATATGGTAAACATTATTGGAGCGTTCGATGCATATTACGTAGAGGTCCCTGTGGAATCAACAAATTGTCCATATAGTCCATGTATTTTTAGTTATGTTCCAAGTTTGGTTCAAATCTAGTAATGTAAAGGCAAAAAAATAAAATAAAACTAGTCTTGAAAAGTAAGGAAATGATTTCTTGCAGTTCTTTCTTCGGTTTTGTTTTTCTAAAAAAAATGTAGTTTGATTAATTTAATGAATTGATTATTAATATAAATAATTTTTTTTTTTGTATATCACTTGGTTCTTAGTGATTCCTTTCTTAAGAGATCATGTTCTTGGGAAGTGTCCCTTCTGCTTATATATATAACGTAACCTCACTTTTTGTTACTACTAAATATATATGTACCATTAACGCTGGTAATAATTATTGAAGACAGAAGATGCATGGTCCTTGATAGTGTTGGGCTTGAAGCAATGCTGCTTAGGCTTAATCTTACTGCAGTCTACTCTACCGGCTTGACAAGCCTAGTCTATGGCTGCTCCTGCTTGTAATAGATCATCTTGTGCCATTTTATCGGCTACGCGTACCATTGTTCAATCTCCACTTCTATTATGAAAAGAAATACACATATATATTTGTGAACTGCGTGTATGCAATATGGACCTTACAAGAATGTTTTTACCTGAATTTTGTGAAAACGTTACTAATATGAAAAACAGAGCAATTGTTATCCTTGACAAGAAAGGCAAGTTTGAGAACTTAACGATGGTGCGAAGTTGAGTATTTTATCATTAGAAAATATCTGTTTAGAATTAATACACGATCTTGTAATTGATGTACATTTCTTAAATATTGCAAAAGGGCTTGATTGATTCTCCCGCTAGCATTCGCCTAGTGGTTGTTAGCAGTCGGTTGCGGTTGTTAGCGGTTGGTACCAATCATAGAAACCGCTTCATACCGCTTCGAATCGTTCGAAATCGATGGATCTCAAAAGCTCTTTCTCGCAAGCGTTTACGGTTGCGAGCGGTTGCGTTTGGTTTAAAAAAGGAAAGAAACTAAAAAAGGAAAATGAATAAATTAAAATATATATTATTAAGTCTTATCTACATTCACGTTAATTTTTTAAAAATAATAATTATCTAACTTTAATTTTCCAATATTAATAATTATTTTTGTTTTCAATATAAAATTTATTTGAATAATTATTTATGGTTTTTAATCATTAATCATGTTTAAAATTTTTATACTTTTTCATAATTATAGTTTTTGATGTTTTATACTTTTTTATAATCAATATATTAAATTTATTTTGGTAAATTTTGGTTTAACCGCTATCATACCCGCTGATCAACCAGTCGTAAATCTCTCGCAAACGCATCCGTTTTCAACCGCTAAACCAGTCGGTCGAAACGCTAAATAACGCTTAAAACCGCAATCGCCCGCTTCCTCAAACTCCCACAACCGCAACCGCAACCGCTGCGTTTAAACCAGTCAAGCCCTTAGCAGAAGTTAAAAAGTAATTATTAAATTTGCGTCATTTAGGATATAAATCCTATGGGATCACTTAATACAATATTTACTACTTTTCTTAAATACTGTATAAACTTAAGTCATTATACATTTTACATTTTACATTTGTCATCTTTGATATAAAAACTTTAGGAGTAAATTTCTTTTTCTAAAAAAAAAAAAAACTTTGCCAATAAATTTCAAATATTTCTTACAATTGTTTTTAATAAAGAAAAATAATTATTGTTTCTATCTAACTTTTTTGAATATCTATGGTGATTAAAAGAATTTCTGGTAACATTTATAATTTTGTATAGAAGTCTATCTTATCATTAATTATAATAAATAAATTAACACCCTAATTAATTTCTTGTTTGTATATAAGACAAAGATTGGTTTAAGGGGCAAAACGTGAAAAAAAAAAACTCAAAACCCTAATTTCTACTAAAGAGCCTTCGAGTCACTTTCTTCTTTCACAAGAGAAACAATGTCAGATCTTCCACTAGATTTGGTAGAAGAATTACTCTCTCGTGTCCCGGCCACATCTCTGAAACGGTTACGATCTACTTGCAAAAAATGGAACGCTTTATTAAATAACCGGAGATTCACCGAGAAGCACTTTCGTGAAGCTTCAAAGCAATCTCATGCTCTCTTATGGAAGGATTTTAGGGTTTGTCCAATGAGAATCAATCTCAACGTTGCTGCTCCGTCTATAGAGTTTAAGAGTGTTCTTAGCCTAAAGGTTTTGGACATCTTATTTGACACCAAACCATATGGGTGTCGTGTCTAAAATCTATGAGTTAACCTCTGATTCTTCTTGATAAAGTCGCTCTCAACTACTACCTCTTAGAATCAGAGAATGGTGTGTCTTTGAAGGGAAATACTTACTGGTTTGCTTTAGATGATGACACAAGTTTCTTACTCGGTTTTGATTTTACAACAGAGAGATTTAACCGTTTTTCTCTTCCCTCAACTGAGAATTTGGATATGATGGTTTTATCGGTTTTTAGAGAAGAAAAACTCTCAATGTCACATGAAAAATTTTGTACATCAAAGATGGATATTTGGATACCCAATAGAATTGATAGTGAAGCCGCCTTGTCCTGGAAAAAATCCTTTTCTATAGAGTTTAAAATCCTTAGTATTTGTCATTATTTTCCGTTTTGCAATAGTTTTATGATCGATAAGGAGAAGAAAGTGGTCGTGTGTACTGCGACTACTCTTGTAAGGGATAAGAACATGGTAAGCATTATTGGAGAGGACAATGCGTATTACACAGAAATCCCTGTGGAATCTACAAATTGTTCATGTAGTCCATATATTTTCAATTATGTTCCAAGTTTGGTTCAAATCCAGCAATGTAGAGACAAAATAGAAGAATAAAACTATTAGTGGAAAGTAAGGAAATGATTTCTCGCAGCTCTTTCTTCGGTGTTGTTTTTCTAAACAAATGTCGTTTGATTAATTTAGTGAACTGATTAGTTCTTCAGACATCAAGAATCTTTCTCTTCAAACGGTTTTGATACATAACCATCCATTTCACACTTCATGCAATTTTTGTCTGTAGCCTAAATCATAACGCGGTTTTCTTGTTGATCTCTTAATTTCCAGATCCCAGACTCTCCTTGTTGCTTTAAATCTGCTCATGTAAACAATAAAGTAACAGTTAAAATAAAATGATCAGATTAGCTTGAGTCACAGACTCACCTTCATGAAACACAACCAAGTAACAAGACTTACTCATCAATTTCGGGCATTTGCAGATCCATGAAGCTTGCATTGAAATCTGTTTTCCTATAATTAAGTTTCCCATGACAAGTATATTATAGCTTGGGGATATAATTGGCGTTTTTAGACACGGATAAGCACTACACTGCGTTGAATTCGTGGTATGAGGTTGCAAATCTGAAGCAGTACTCGGTTTATGGCCTCTACTCTAATCTTAAGGACTCTCCAACCAATCCATTCAAAAACATTTCATGACTTTCTTTTTCCTTTGTGTGTTGCTACTTTTCTAATTTTGTATTATTTCTCACCTACTTTGTTCGTTTTAGTTTATTTCTTTCATATAAATTACGCTATATAGTAAAATTATGCTATATACTGTGCTTTACTAATTGGCGTGTAACATTTGCGTAAATTAGATATATAGTTAGAATACTCGGTTGTTAATGTCGCTTCCTTCCTTTTGTACTCCCAGATCATGGCTCATGAAATCAAAAAGGTGTGGCCTTGGTTGATTCGTAGCCATTATTGAATTGTTTGTCATGGTTTAGTAAATTATATAAAGGTGAGAGACAGACCCAACCAAACTATGAAAGGTCATCATTCGGGGAAAAACTGGATCCATCTCCAAATAAGGGTTTACGTTGCTACTACTGCTTCCTTCGTATGGACAATAGCTTCTAGGGTTTGGATTTCCATTCCCAATTTGCTAGTATATTTCAGGTTTGGGGGGGAGGGGACTGGGTGGAAAATACAATTGATCAATTAAGTAATGACTTTTATTCTCTATTAAAGTACCAATGCTAATTCTTCTTATTGTTTCATCCGTCTTTGCAGCTCTCTCATCTTCTTGACCGCTTCCAACAAAAATATCATTTGTGTTGGTCTAAAACTCTTCGACTTGTACTTCAAATGGAAATATAGGTCATAGGTGGATCACAAAAAGGAGTAAACTGCATATTATCTAGCTTCTTCCTACAACGTATGATAATATTCCTTAAGAAAGATACCAAGGCATAGATTTCACTCAAGTTATGATCACCAATTCTACGACCGCTTTATAGTTGCATCATCAACTCATCAGTAACATACTCGTTTTCCTGCTTATAGTTCTTCATCAATTGCTCATGAATCTTCTCTGTCTTGTGTATCACTCAGCACTCTTCTATTTTTTCTTCTAACCAAAAAAACAGTTTGCCGTCAAGCCCAGCAAATTTTATTCAAAAATCTTGCAAGAGAATCTTAAGAAAAGAGGAAATCTCAAGATAATTTTGATGGCAATCCATCTAATAGAGAAAGTATTGACAAGAAGAATCAAGATAATCATGTTAGTTACAAACCAAAAAGAAGATGTCTAAGAGGAAAAACGGCAAACTATCTTGATACAAATTCTATCGCTAAATGTTTAGTTTAATATCTTTTGTTATACAAAATATTTATTTAAACGAAATTCAAAAATTTCATGTAATCAACATCAAGTACTTGGGTCTAAAACGAGACGTAAATTTCATTATTTCAACAACAATCTGAAGTAATGTGGGAATCACATCTACAAATTTCCACACACACAGCGGCAAAGAAATAATTTTTTTGATTAGCTAGTCAACAAAGGCGAATTGTTTTGCTGCGACCTCGAACACCTCCCCCGCTTTCTTATAGATGACTTACTATGAGAATTCCTATGCATGGTCAGAACTACTACAAAATAGGATCTCTACTATAGGCCGAAGGAGGTAAACCACGTTTACTTTGATACATACAAAGAAAATGAATCAAATTTCATTGAAATAAACTTTCATTTAAGGAAATAAATTACACCAAACAATTAAATGGCACACGAGAGCTAGGACTACCACTCAACCTAACTATGACTGACAGGGTCTTATAGCCAACATTGACGGTTCTGCGATTCAAATCTTCTCTTCTTCTCGGGCTTGGATACATTGCATGGCACGCAACACTTAGAAACTTGGGCAAAATTTGTTTGGTAGAAAGGTTCTTTTCACCTTCATTACTTGGCAGACAATGAAGAATACACAATTGGTCCAACAACTCTCTAGAAATGGGTGGCTCATGTGTTAACCTATCTGATTTCGAATCAAGGGTTACATACTCAAATTTCAGAAATAGTGGACACAATTTTAAAGTGGCTGGACTGTCTTGTTATCGTGCTTCTTTCTTGACAACATAGGTAGCGATTCTCTAATCTTATGCCCCTCTGGTTAGAACATAGCTAAATCATCCAAAGAGCAGAGACCAAATTAAGTTTTCCCCTGGTTTAATTAAAAAAAAAAGTTTTGGCAAGAAAAAACTCAATGAGCTAAGAACCGGCTAATATATATAATGGGAGAGTTTCTCTCCTCTTAGGATGTCCACATCATCACCACATTAATATTATAGATCACACCAACAATTATTTCAAAATATTTAATTTTATGGTTAATACATCTCATTATCAA